ACATGTACTGTTTATTGACTACAAGCAAGCTTTTGACAGTGTAATAAGGAGGAGCTAATTATGGATATGAATCAATTAGGCATCCAAGAAAAATTAATAAGTCTCACGAAAATGACGATGAAGGAATCCAAGGCACGAATCTTAACAAAGGAAGGCCCGTCAGATGAAGTACAAATGGAGGTAGGTATCAGATAGGGAGACTCCCTGTCAACATTATTTAACATTGCCATAGAGGGCGCAGTAAGAGCAGCCAAAATTATGGGAACGATTATCGAATCTTCAGCCCAACTGATAGCGTATGCAGACGAAATTGCACTGGTTAATAGAGATTTAAAAACCATGCAGAACATAATATTAATACTAGATAAAGAAGCAAAGAAGAGAGGGCTAGTAATAAACCAAAGCAAAACGAAATACCTCAAGTGTTCAAGAGAGAATACGAACATAGAGAAAGAAATTAAGCTTGGTGCATATACATTTAAAAGAGTACACCGTTTCAAATACTTGGGAGTGATGGTGAACGACAGAAATGATAGAATGGATGAAATAAATAAACGCATCCTACTGGGTAATAAAACCTACTGGAACTACCAAAAATTCCTGAGAGAAAAGCACATTAGTAAGAAAACCAAATTAAAAATTTACAAGACTGCAATCAGGCCAGTGATCACCTATGGTACAGAGACGATGTGCGTAACACAAAAAGATGCAATGAGGTTGGAAATCTTAGAGAGAAAGATAATTCGACCAACAATGGGACCGGTGAGGATAAGTGTAGGCGAATTTAGAAGATTAACCAATGAAGAAATTAAAGAAGTCATCGAGGGTGAAGACATAATCAAGTTCGTGAAGACGCAAAGGCTCAGGTGGCTGGGACACACAGAAAGAGCTAACCTAGACTCTACGGTAAAGCGAATAACTGGATGGAGACCAACAACAAAGAGACCAAAGGGGAGACACAAAACAAGATGGAGAGATCAAGTCTTAGGAGATATAAAGAAGCTGAGAATCTACAATTAGAAGGAGCGCTCTAAGGAACGGAAATAATGGAGGAAAATTGTAAACAGGGCCAAGTCACACACGCTGCTATAATAACAAAAAAAACAACAGCGAACTGATTCTCCGCAATAAACGAATCAGAGAGCCCAAAAGGGCGGCAAACACTCCGCCAGGAGTGAATAAGCCATGATGATGATGAATGGAGAACGTACTAAAAGGACTTATAGGAGAAATATAGCTAGTCTACATAGACGACATTATTGTACTTTCAGCTCTCTTCAAGGACACATGGTAAATCTTAAGAAGATTTTTGAGAAATTATGAGAAACGAGATTTAAAATAAAAGTTGACAAATGTGAAATACTTGAGAAAAACTAAAGCTAATACTAATATAAAAATTAACACTAATGCATTATGAAAGGAACACTATTGTTTATAAATACTAAAATAATTAACTAAAAACGCCTAAATTGGTTTTTAAAAACTAAATACGTTTTTTGTAGGAATATTTAGGTTGTAAATTTTATGACATCATACTTTCAGAACAAAAGATACAGTATCTGCTATTCAGTAAGTTTCAGCATGCATTTCAAAATTCAAACCGATAACAATCTTATTGAATCTTGTTGTAATCTGCCAAAAATTGATATGGCAACCCCGTTAGTATGATGATTCGTTTGAAGCAGAGATATGTAAGAGAGGAGATATAACATACGGTGAAGTAGACGGGTTCACTTCGGCCATATTGGATAGTACTTTCTGTCAAATGTAAGTTGTCACACTAAGTCCACAGTATTAATATATTAACCAAAACTATGTTGAAAAATCGGAATTTTGCACGTTTTGGTGGAAAAAATTAAATATAAAGGTATCGTAAATATAGCTTAAATTAATTTAAATCCGGACCTACCTTCGCCATATTGGATAGTACATAGTGTCAAATTAAGTGGTCCCATTTAGTAAATACAGAAATATCGTTTGTGTCATATCCCCTCTTTTACATATCTCTGGTTTGAAGCGTTTCGAGGCCAAAAGTAATGCTATCTATCGATGATAAATATTACCAATGTTTCACATGGAGCCCTCTCTACGATACAATTTGATGGCGGCAGTTCAAAATATAATTCTTGTTTAACGAGATTCTTCATATGTTTAGGAAAAAAGACTCAACGTTTTATTGCAAATATTTTCCACTTTTATAGTTTTATATATGTTGTTATTAAAATTTTTTCCGTTTTCTTACCGGTGGCTTTATTATAAGCTGTAACATATTAGTTTTTCCTATTGTGACAAAACTGCACATTCAAAAATTTTCAAAAAATTCATAAGTATTTCTTAGGGTTATATCTTTACGTTGTAAGAAAATTAACAAAATTGTATGTCTGATTTTCCCGCTCTATACTTGGAAAAACGTAGTTTTTTTGAGTCTTTTCGAAAACAAAAACATGAATTTTATTCAAAATTTGTCAAAATACTTCTAGTTATCACATCCATCTTCTTAATTTTTTTTAAATTCTAACCATCATCAATGAAAGACTAAAATCAATTCTCTTACCACAAATTCCCCAAGAGAACATATTCCTAATACTCGTCAAATTATCGAAAAATTTCGAGAGTTTAACATAGAAACATATTTATGCTTTGTTGATTTTCCAAGGCCTTTGATGTCGTAAAATGGAATAAAATGTGGCATCATCATCATCATCATCAATCAGCCCTGAGTTGTCCATTGTTGAACATAGGCCTCCTCTAGACTTTTCCATTTGCTTCTGTTCTGCGCCTCTGCTATTCAATTGGTCACGATTCTTTTGAGGTCGTCATAGAACTGTTCTATTTCTTCGTCAGCGTGACTCGATGTTGGTGCATAGACTTGAATGATCTTTATGGAGTAACGGGTGTTTAGTTGTAATTTTGCAAGTATAACTCTTGTGGAAACTGCTTTTACTGATATGATATTATCAGCTAGTTTTTCATTAATAAAGAGCCCAATGCCTCCATTCTCATCGTTTTCTCCGACATGATAGAAAATGTGACCAGATTTTAAAGTGGTTAGGCTTTCTTCTTTCGTTTTGACCTCAGCGACTCCAACAATGTCCCAATTGATTTTATCAAGTTCAGATTCCATTTCTATGAATTTTTCTTCTGATAGCAGGGTTCTTGCATTGAAAGTTGCATTTCTTTCTACTCACCTGGGGTAAATCCGTTTTTGTATTCGTATTCGTAATCCGCCCATTATGGGTACAGACGCTGTTGACAACCGCCCAATATGGATCAGACGCTATCGGTTTGATTTTATACCATCCCTAAAATCCAGCGATGCCACTGCCGCCATCCACGTCGTACCCAAGATCTTCTTCTCCGCCGTGTTTACCGTTGTGGTCTTCACCTGTATCCCTAGGTAGGGGTCCGTGTTATACCCCACAGAACTGGGTCCCGATCTGGACTTGGCCATCTATTCACTCCGGCCTACTGAAATGATAGATGCCCACCAAATGTGGTATATATTTAGAGAAATGGGTACGCCAGAACATCTAATCTACTTATTACAAAAATTATATGTAAATAATTCTGCTAATGTAAAGGTTAATAATGTGGTTTCGAAAAATTTCAAATTAAAATTTGAAGTTCGACAGGGATGCCTAATATCCTCTATTTTTATTCAATATATATAGTGAACATATTATGGGTCAAGTTTTTGAGGAATGGCAAGGTGGAGCAACGATAGGAGAAAGAAAAATCAAAAACCTATGTTATGTTGACACTGTTATATTGGCGTCATCACCAGAAAAACTGGAACACATTATAAATAGGCTAGGCACGAAGAGTGAGGAATATGTTTTGAAAATAAATATGCAGAAAATCAAAGTGATGATCATCGGTAGAATCAGATAGAACCAGGCAGAGATAAGAATTATGGCAGGTTACGAAGTGGTCAGGCAATCTAATTACTTAGGCTTCGTTATTACTAACAGTGGAGGATGCCATGTTAATCGCCAACGTCAAGGGGACTTGATAGGGCACGTTAAGAAGAAGAAGGAGGATGTGAAGACGAAATCCATCAACGCATCATAACGGCTAGATCGGCAGCAGCCAAACCCACAAAAATTCAGAAGAACTTCTTCTTCTGGTTCCTATCCGTTTCGGATGTTGGAAATCATATTGGCAATCATAACCTTGCTTGCTGCGGCTCGAAACAGCTTCGTTGAGGTTTTTTTAAACCATGTTCTTAAATGTCAGAAGAACACTGACGTCATAAAAAACTTACAAAATTACGCCTTGTTCGAGTATTGATATTTCCTATCGCCACCTATACTTCAGAAACTTGGACAATAAAAAAAGCCGATTCAAAGCGTATAGTGGCATTTGAAATGTGGGCCTACTGTATATACTGAGATATTTTGGACATATAACTAGAAGAAGAGAAGGCATGGAGCGAATGATATTTGAAGGTAACATAGAGGGTAAAAGATCCAGAGGAAGATCTCTAGTACGATGGTCGGACCAAATGACTGGTTACTCATTCTTCGAAGCAAAACAACACAGAAGAGAGATAACTGGACAGAAATAATCAAACACGTTACATGCCGCCACTACATCCTTACGAAGAAGAAAAAATTGATGAGGAGGATATATTGCTCAATTTCAAATATGTCAAATTAAAAACGTTCTACTTTGTCCTTGTATAATATTATCATCATTTTCCTTCTGTTTATCCATATGCGGGGTCAGCTTCCCTAATTATTACATTTTTCCATAAGTTTCTTCTTGGGTCATAACAATATCAATCCCCTTTACGACATGCCCTGCCTAAGCGTCTTCTCCCAGGTGGTCTTCCTCTCCTACTTCCTCCAGGAACTCGCAGATCAACAATTCTTCGTATTGGGTGATTAACGTTTCAATGTGGAATGTGACCAACTTCTCGTAAAATGTTTGAAACTATAATGGCTATCACACTCCATAAAGAACTGTGGCTGAAAATAACGTCAATAATTTGTTTTTAGGTATCTATCGGAGTGTTAGCAGATCGACCACTCAATGCATTGGCAAACTTCAAGAAAATGCCGTATAGAGGTATAATTAAGTTATTACTAGCAGCATGGCTAATAGCAAATGTTACGTCGGATGCTTACTTTAATGCGATTATTAAAACCTACCTTACTTTTGGCAGATCAGCTTCTACAAAACTTGAAGATTTAATAGACAAGGGATACACTTTTGTCGTAAGTTAATTCAAATGTTTAAACTGTTAAGAAGTTATTAGAAATTTTGTCATTTGAAACAGGAATTAGCAAGGTTAGAGATTGCTCCAGTTCTGCACTGGAAATAACATTGATATTGTAAATGCTATCTTCTAGCCATACATATATAAGAGAGTCGTAGCCATTTGGCATCACGCAACAGTCGTATAAAAGTCATGTTTATTTTAAATCGATCTTCTTCTTCAGATGCAAATCCACTAATGGATGTTAGCGATACATTTTCATTAATTCTTATTTGTTGCAATATGTATCAGAGATTGTATGTCGTGAATCCCTGTCCATTGCCTTATGTTTCGGAGCCAGGACATTTTCTTGCGTCCCATTCCTCTCTTGCCTTCAATTTTACCCTCGATTATAAGTTGGAGGAACTGGTATTTTTCATTTCGCATGATGTGACCTAGATACGCCGTTTTCCTTTTCTTGATGGTTTCTTTAAATCGATACCGTATATTAATCATAAGAATATAATCATTTGAAAAAAAATGTGAAGTTTATAATGTTATTAGCCTTGCTTTAGGCCTTTGATTACTTTAATGATTCCTTAATGATTCCTGAAAGTTTTTTCTTTATTTTTACTCGGTACTGTTTTTTGTAGCATGTTTAAGTTAAATACTATTTGGTATGGAATTAAACCAGAATGTATTGTAATAAGAATAACGTTTTATATTTGTTTTGATATTTCGATTTCCAATTCAGTTTTTGGATTATCAATCCAGTTTCTAATCTAAAAACGATTTCCGGATTATTTATTCAGAAAATAGCGTTAAAAGAGCCCAATAAGAATTCTCAGTTAAAATGCACCAGGTTAGAAAATACATAACATCAAGAAATAAATAAATTAAAGATTAAAAAGGATACTCTTAATATATTTGTGATATCCTTTCCTTTTAATTAACGTATCATGAGCTCCAATTGGAGCAATAACAAAGGAGATATGATGTAATGCTCTCTTAGCAATACCGCAATGTGTATTTTTTCTGTCTCAACACATTTGCTACTCCCTCTTCTTTCCAAAGATGCACCATACGTCACAATCCGATGAACTATTCTACCATCACCACAAAACGCTCAAAAAATGAGCGGAATGAACCTTTGTAGTGAGATTAGGAAGGGTTGGAATAGGATAATGATTTTAAAATCATAGAATTGATTTAAAAAAATATGACATGGTTTTACGAATGTGAAAAATTGAACAGCAATTTTGCAAAAAAAAATTAAATTACTGTAAAGAAGTAAAATTTCTTATAAACAATATTTGAATCATCAATTTGGAAAATGAATTAGCATTAAATCAACCGTATCGTTTCAAGAACAAAAAATGATTAAAATGTCAAATCTTATTAGTTCAGATTTCTTTCCTACGTGGCGTCGTTACCTTACTCGACAAACGGTGTGACTTGTCATCATAGCCTTTTATATATAGCATTTTTCACATAAAAAAGCTTGCACGTCATTCAAGATTTACGTCGTCAGAACCCCACAGCGTTGCCAAAACATCAGAATAGTTAGTAAATGAGGAATTTTTAAAATGTCAACTATTTGTCAAACTATTATATTAACAGTAACTACACTTAGTTTTAAGATTACTGCAACACATTAAAATACATAAGAAAACATTTTAGTACAAAATTATATATTCTAAATTTTAAACTTACCTCTTTTAGGGCTTTAATAGTAAAAACGTCCCGCCATTATTTCTTGTTCAAAATAATCTAACTTATATGAAAGCTTATCAGCTTTCTACAGACTATTTATTTGTTTTCGCATATCACAATTACAATACACAACAATAATTAGTTTTTAAAGCTATTAATCTAAATTTAATATGTATTTAAAAATACAATTTATTAATATATTTTATATTATATATTATATTATGATCAAATTGTGTAAGAAATAAAAACCACTCAAAACATAAACAAAATTCCTACTCTAAAAAAGCGGCAACACTTAATACACTTTTGCCACTCGCTAAACTGTCAATAAAATTTGAAGTATTTCCGTATCAGTTGCGTACAATTGTCTAATATATTTCATTAAAATTATTATTTTGTGGAATATTAGACTTAAAGAGTTATTTCATAAAATTTATATTAATAATAATAACAAATTTTTTTGGTTATTTAATCATATATAATTCCAAAATTTCCAATATAAGGATGATTTACATTTTTCTGATTATTACACCATGTTGACAGCCTATGAAAGATCGAGTACACTTTATCTAATTTATATAACGATTCACGTCGTCATATGGATCGGCGTCATAGCCTGTGACGTCACATGATACCAACATAAATATTTTTAGGGTGTTCTTTTTTAGAATCACTTTACCGAGTACACTGGCATTACAGCCACTAGACATATTTTATTATATACGCGCAGAAATAATATTTAAAAATTTCTATTAATCTTAACTTAAAGAAATACACCATAATATGTTTCATTTAATTTGTATAAATGCATTATAAATCGTTTTTATCAAGAGCATTTGTTCGGATCACAGTGTAACTGTAATCGAACGAAAGTAAAATTTTGGCATAAATTGGTAACACTTATTTGACAGTTGCGGTGTTGACACTTTTTGTACTTCATTATTTTGAATTTTAAATTGAATATCTCTTGTTTTATATTTTTAACTATTTAATAAAATCTGTTCTTTTTAGAACAAAATTAGTGTGTTTTATTTCAAAAATGTCACGTAAGAATTTAAATAGTCGTTGTAAAGAGATGGTAATACTTTTGCAATAATTATGTAATCTATTTGATTTAAAATGGAGTCAAGATTTTTTTATATTTTGGCAACTATGTCAACTTCGATCTCTGATGTATAAATGACGTAAGTCGTTATCTAAATTAGATGAAGTATAGTTTCGTATGAGTTTAGTATTATTAGCTGTGTTAGGAAAATTTGAAATATGGAAATTTTACAAAGTGACGTCACTTTGTAGAAATCGTGACGTGCAAATGTTTTACTTTGAAAAATGGTATAGATAGATATTCCCCAAATGTTTTTTCTGATATTTTTAAAAGCATAGCTTATTTTTATGATCACCAAATGTGACGTAAAGCCGGCTTCAAACGGCGTTACCATCAATAAACTTGGGGCAAAATTTAAGGAAAATCGTTAATATTATCGCCATAGATTTATTATATTTCTTTTAACTAACAATATCTGCGGAATATTTACAAAAACTATAAAATTTTTAAACGTCATTGTGACATCTGCAATGAGTATACAGACAAGGCAAAAAACTCGTATTCGTTCGGAAAAAGTCCCTTGACATTGGCGATTTACATGGCGAAACTGTCTCTGTCTCGAGCTATTCTAAATAGTTGCTCAGCTTTCTTTATTTCTGTGAGAAAAGTAGGTATTCCCATGAGATTTTTTTACATAATCACTTTCATGAGATACCCCAAAATACTGATCAAGAGGTCGCCCAGATAAAATTTAAAAAAATAATAAAACAAATTGTAACAATAAATATATTTTTATCCCGGATAATTTTTTTTTAATTTTCTGGCCATTCTGAATAATTTCTGAATAAATTCTTGTAATTTTTTGTGTAACTTGATCTTTTTTGCATGATAAACAATTAAAAACTGAAAAAAGTTTTTTTCTCAAAAATATTTCATTTTTTTTTCAAATTTTCGAAAAAAACTTTCCTTGTTTTCTTTAATATGTTATCAACCAATAATTAACTAGATACTTATTGATGTTAATAGTATCACAAGAGAAAAAAAGATTGAGAATATCTGAAGCAAATTGTAGCATGTATTGTAAATTAGCCAAGCAATTATACACTCTTGGATAGAGCACATAAAATTTATTATATTTGTATATATGTTTAATTTGTTTAATTTAACTGTAGGTTGATCCCACCGACCATGACTTTCTTAGTTCCTACTGTGTGCACTCCAGTGCTTTATTTTGTCAAAAAATTATTAAAAATATAGAATATTCGAAAAATGTGTGCGACAATTTGGCAAAACCTAAATACTCAATTGTAATGGATGGAATCATGGCACTCCTATTTACAGTAAGTGGTAAATTTAAATTGTTTATATATTTGCAATCAAATCTCTCTCAGACATAGGCGAAATATCGATCGCTCAATACGAAATAAAATAAGAACAATTGAACTGAACTTTACAAAAATATATCTCCTTTTAAAGGTTGGCGATCCAAATGGCAATTATAGGTTTGGAAACTGCTGCACGAAAGATTTCTGTAGATGAGCGGACAAACCATCTCCTCAGGTCTTTTAGCCACGAGTTCTGGTGTCTTTTAACTGATCTTTTGCCCTGCAATTTACCTTTCAATATGATTTGGAATTTTTCATATCTTAGACCTCTCAGCACATGACCCAATTTTCTCTCTTGGATTATGCTGAGTTATTCTTTGTGTTTACTCATGCGCCAAAGTACCTCACCGTTGGCAACTTTTGTACCATGGAATTCTCAGCAACCACTGAGAATTCGCCAAAAGATGTTTTCAAATCACCAAATCGGACAGAACGAAAACAGGAAATATGGAACAGAATGGAAGTAGAATGCTCACTTAGAAAAAGTTGAAAAATAGAGCCCTGCAGTGGTACGGGCATGTATAGAGCTCTAGAGCACAAGTGGCCCAAAAAAATTTTGGACTGGGACCTGGCGACAATAAGATGGAGAGAAAGACCTCATACAAGATGGAAAACATATATAGAAAAGTCTATGCTACATACATACCTCAGAGAAGGTGACTGGAAAAATAAAGTGCTGTGAAGAACGAAAACGGCGAACTCCTAATGAGAAAAGTCAAAAAGAACAAGAATTGCGTCTCTTTCCTTCTATTTCGTTGTTTTTACCGAGTCCTTCTTCATTGCATAAGTTTAGAATCATTATTAGAGGGACAGAAGTCCTTATTAGAAAGATACAATATGAATTACGCTATTTTTTTCCTTCTATGGACAAGTGGTAATCTAATACTTTTTATACTTTAGGCGCCGATGATAATGTACCCCCAAAATCGTTCTCATACTACCGCATACAACGACATTTCAAAATGCAGCTTTTACGAAGACACAAACGTTAGGATTGGTCTTACTCATTTACGAGCAGGAGAAGGATACAACACGTTCTTTTTTTCTAAATCTGCACCGTTTGAGCCTTCCTTTTCTTTTATTGTTTTGCGCCTTCAGGAGAGTGGTATTATTGAGTATTGGTAAATATACATTTTTAAATATATATTTTTTTAGTATATTAGTCTATATTTAGCATAAACTAATAAAAACATATTACAACAGTGTAGAAATTTAAAATTTTAAAGTAGTCTTCTGGTCCCCTGGTGAAGATCCTATATTTGTGTTCAGGTTAACATTTTTTTATTTATCGTATGGCACTTGACACATTTACATTTAAATTTACACATAATTTGTATAAAACATAATACATATATGTTTACAAACGGACATCTAACTTATTTATATCTTCTATCGACTCTGGAGTCGCCATTAGGAAATCCTCTGACCTGCCTTGATAGGATCTTGTGGGACACTGTTCTGTGATGTGACAGATGGTTTGTGGTTGTCCGCAGTCACAGAGTGGGGATGGTCGTTTACCCCATTTGTGCATCATATAACCGCATCTGCTATGTTTGGTTCTGATTCGGTTCAACATAGTCCATGTGTTGCGTGGTAAGTCAAAACCTGGTGGTTTTTGTGTGATGCAGGGTAAGCTGCTATTTTGTTGTTCCATGCATTCTCGAGTCCAAGTGGTCGTTAAGTTGAACTCATTTTCCACTGCAATCTGTGCTGTTTTTATTGACGGTCGCCTGGAGCGCAAACGGTTACCGTTGGCAGCATCTATATCTTGATGAATTGGCAGGGTCTCGTTGCTAAGTATCTTTTGGTACTCAATAGTGAGGGAGTGTATACGCCGTAGTCTGGGTGGTGGAATGTGGCTCAGGACTGGGAGCCATTGCGTAGGGGTGGATTTGATAACACCTGCAATCATTCTCATTGTGTTATTCAATTGGGCATCTACTTTGTGTGTATGTGGGCTGTTAAGCCAGGCTGAAGAGCAGTATTTCGCGGTTGAGAAAACAAGGCCCAGGGCAGATGATCGCAAGGTGGAAGCCGATGCTCCCCATGTTGTGCCGCACAACTTCTGGATGATGTTGTTTCTGGATTTAAGTTTTTGCGCTGTTTTTGACAGATGTTCCTTGAAAGATAGAGTTCTATCAAGAGTCACCCCAAGGTACTTTGGTGTTTTATTGTAGGCCAGTGTGGTGTTTTCGAATTGGACGTTCAGTGTTCTTCCTGCAAGCTTGTTAGTTAGGTGAAAACTGGAAACCTCTGTTTTGGTAGCGTTTGGTTGGAGCCTCCATTTACGGAAATACTTTCCCACTGTGTGTAAGTCTGCCGTAAGGATTTCTTCTGTTTGCTCAATTGACTTACACATTGTTGCAAGGATCCAGCCATCGGCGTAACCAAACTTCCTTGATCTGGTTTCAGACATATCAGCGATGTACAGGCTAAAGAGAAGAGGAGCTAGGACAGATCCCTGAGGCAGTCCATTCTTCAGTTTTCTTGGAGTGTTGATGTCGGTTCCCATGACTACTTGAATCGTTCGGTCGGCTAGCATGCTGTTGATTATTCGAGCGGTGGATTTACAGGAGATTATACGGAGGAGCTTGTATATCATGCCTTCTCTCCAGACTGTATCGTAGGCCGCTGTTAGGTCTATGAATGCGGCTGCAGTTTTAAGTTTTCTCTGGAACCCTGCCTCAATAAATGTGGTAAGTAAAAGAACCTGATCTGAGCAGCTTCTTTTCGGTCGGAAACCTGCTTGATCAACCGGTATCGATTCAAGTAGCTTTGGACTAATTCTGTTATAGATAAGTCGTTCTAGTAGCTCGAACGTTACCGATAGTAGGGCTATTGGTCTGTAGTTTTTAGAGTTGCTATCATTTGGATTTCCCTGGATTTAATGTGGCAATGATCTTCGAGTGTTTAAGTTCCTGTGGAATGGTACCGGTCTTCATAATATCTGTGAAAAAGTGAAGTTTTTTCAGGTTAACATATTCGAATTCTTTTTTTGTTTTTTTTTTAACCTAATCTCTATCCTTCCATTGTTGGATATAGGTCTCTCCCAGTTCTCTCCATCTTTCCCTATCTTGAGCTGTTCTCTGTCATGTGGGACCTCCTTGTTTCCTGTTGTGATCTTTACACATCATCTGTGGTCTGCCTCTTGGTCTCTTTGCATTGTATGGACGCCACTTTCCGATGGCACTGTTCCATCGTCCGTCTTGGAGACGTTCATTGTGTCCAGCCCATTTCCATTTCAGTTTTGCTGCTTGTTCTATCGCGTCTACTGTCTTTGTTCTGATACTGATCCACTGGTTACGTTTTCTATCTCTAAGTGATACACCCAACATTTGTCTCTCCATCGCTCTTTGTGCCTTCCTTATCCTATCCAAATTGACCTGTGTAAATGTCCATGTCTGTGCTCCGTAGGTGAGCACCGGTATTATGCAGGAGTTATATATCTTGCTTCGTAAGTATAGAGGGATTGTTTGATTTTTTAGTACGTAAGAAAGTTTGACGAACGCTGCCCATCCCATTCTTACTCGTCTCGATATTTCGGCTGTTTGATTTTCTCTGTTAGCTCTGATTGCTTGTCCTAGATAGATGTACTTATTTACCTGTTCTATTTTTTCTGTTTTTATTTTTATTGCCTCTTGGTCTTCCGTGTTTTTTTTTTGTTTCATTACTTTTGTTTTGTTGAAGTTAATTTTTAGGCCTTTTTGCAGTGATTTTTCATGAAGTTCATTCAGCATTAATTCCAGTTCTTGTCGTTCCGAGGAGATCAGGAGTATATCATCCGCATATCTAAGGTGATTTAGGTATTTTCCATTAATACATATTCCTCTGTTTTCCCAATCTGTTGATTTTATTATGTCTTCGAGGGTCAAGGTAAACAGTTTAGGTGAAATTATATCGCCTTGTCGGACTCCTCGTTTAACTTTTATATTATCCGTTATTAATTTGTCGTCCAGACTAACGGTCATGGTTGCGTTTTAGGAAATATCATGTATCAATTTTTTTTTTCAATTTTTTTGTTACGTTTCAGTTATTAAATAATTTCGACAAAGAACCGTTGAAGGTATTGATAGTATTAACAAATAATTGCTCTGCTGTTATAGAAAATATATTCGTCTGTTTTCCTTGCATTTTCTCAAAATCTGTATGTTGCTTTCTCAACTTTGCCCATTTTACAGAAATATTCTCTGTAACGATGGCCAGCGCTAGCTCTAGCCGTCTACCCATAGATATGCCTCTGGGAAGAACTCCAACCCGGACCTTTAAGTATTGATTAAATACCAACCGCTAAAATCGAGTGGTGATCGATTCGATCAATTATAACCAAAGTATTAATTAGTATTTGGATACTGACCAATAAATTGGCCTTTCAGTTTAACTTTTCTAGCACGTCAATATTTATTTTTTCGCAGGTATCAACAGCGGACCATAGCCCCGACGATTTATACGTTCGGATTCGTATTTTTATTTCTAATAAACTTGTTATTCATTTTATTTATATTAAACAGTCATGTTTGACTGTTATGTCTATGCTCCCACTGCAGACAAAGGGGAGAAAGAAGCAATTGAGTTCTATTAGAACATCAACAGTATCATACAGAAAATTCCTCGACAGGAAGTTTTTATCGTTATGGGCGATTTTAATGCCAATATTGGAGCTGGGGATAAGACAGAGTACATTGGAGCACATGGACTTGGAGTCAGAAAGAGAGAGGAGATCTCCTAGAAAAATTCGCAGAAGACTCAGAAGTAGTTGTCACCAACACATTTTTCCAATTACCAGCTCGCAAGCTGTACACGTGTAAATCTCCTCAAGACACACCCGGCATATTTATTTGAAATCAAATGGACAACATTTTAGTAAATAAAAATTCTGAAACAGCTCTACATCTGTCGAGACTTATCCTGGAGCAGACTTGGAGACAGATCACGTTCCACTGGTGGGTGTATTTCGA